TGGAGAGGGCCGCAGCGCGTTACGGATGCGCGTGGCCCCGGCCCCGTTGCGGTGGGACGCGCTCGGCCCTGCGGGGCGGGGATCAGCTGGTGTCGTCTCAAGAGACGTTTGGACGTCTATCTTGCTGGGATCCTATGACCCCCATAGACTTCCTGCCCCTGGGGCGGGGGCTGGACTCGATGACCTTCCCAGGTCCTTTTCAGCCCGAATGTCTATGAATCTATGAATCTTTTAATCTTGCAGGTGGGCACAAACCTGACTGACCTCCTGCTCCAAAAGAAGATCACGATCCGGGAGCTGGGGGGCTGCATGGGCCCCATCTGGGCCAGTTACTATGGAGACTGCCGTGCAGTGCTGGTGAGTCCGCGTCCTGCCAATCCATCTTCCAGCCGTGCCCTCGTTGGTGGCCACTTGCTGGCACCTAACCAGCGCTTCCCAGCGTCCGTGGCCTCACGCTGCAGCTGGCAGAGTTGCAGACCAGGCACTGACTGTCCAGCTCCGCAGCCCCTTGGTCAGCGCCGAGCCATGGTAGTAGCTTCCTGTGAGGTTAGGCAGGGGCCTCCCCGTGGTGCAGCGAGGAAAGACCTTGCCAGAACCACGCTGCACCCAGGGGCCGGGCAGGATTGAACCAGGGTCCAGGGCCAGTCCCAGTGCCGCTTGCTACTGTGCGGTAGTGTGTGTGCAGGAACAAGCCCCGGACGAGGGAACTGCGGGTGTTTAGACGTGAACATGTTCTAGACAACGTGGTGCCCCGAGCTCTTGCATGTAGGGAGACGCTGGAGGCAGAGGGCTTGTCTCATAGCAGGCTCCTCACGTCCCTCATGTCTCTCCCGCTCCTCATCTCCTTGCTCAGGGTGGGTCAGCTCTTTCCCAACAGACTCTTGTGGCCTGATTCCCACCCTACCAAGCCCTGTCTCAGAAGGGAGATGCGCTGCCCCAGCACAGCTACTCCTCCCCAAAGGGGCCAGGTGCGGCAGCTCAGCTGTGGGCTCCTGGCCGTTGAATGCCTCTGCCGAGTCTGTGAATAAAAGCAGCAGGGGAAGAAAGGATTGTCCTGAGCCTGGAGAGGAGGGAGGGAGGGTCCTGGACAGAAGGGAAGATCCCAGCCGCGGGCACTCTGTGCAGGGGCCTGTCCCTGGTATGGGCTCACTCCCACAGTTTCGCCTACGCTCTGCCCCGAGCTGACTGCACAGCTGCCCCTGCATGTCCACAAGTGCCAAACAAGCTCCTTTCTGTTTCTTCTCCCCAGTTTGTGATTGATGCCTCAAACCCCACCCAGATCTCCTCGTCCTGCGTCCAGCTGCTGTCTCTCCTTTCTGCAGAGCAGCTTGCTGCAGTGCCAGTCCTCATTGTCTTCAACAAGATGTAAGGGGAGGATTGCGCCAGGCTGGACAAGGCCGGTTCCCTGGTGGGAGGGGAGGAGAAAGGAGGGGCCAGGGCAGGCCACATAGGATGCTGGGGTGGTTGTGCCCTGCTCATATCCCCTCCGGTCCCCAAGGTGGTGCAGGCACCTCCCAGGGAACAAGGGGAACAGTCTTCCTCAGCTGTGCTCGTTTCGGACCCCAAGCCGTGGTTCAGCGGGCAGCATGGGCTGGGATTGCTCAAAGTCTGGTCAGTGTGGGTTTAACATGGGATCTTTTGCTCATTTCTCACTCCCAACTCTGGCTTCAGCGACCTGCCCTGCTACATGTCCCTTCTGGAGATGAAGTCCCTGTTCCGCATCCAGGATATGGTCTCCTGTGCCACGCAGCCCATCACCGTAATGGAGACCAGTGCCCGTGATGGCACGGGCCTGCCCGAAGTGCTGCGGTGGTTTCAGTCCACCCTCAAGGATGCTAGCTGAAGTTGCTCCACGTGCTGCCAGGGGATGGTGTAGGCCCCAAGAGCTCAGGGCTCCTCTGCCACGGAGCCTGGACTCCAGGAGTGGAGCAGAGGCCACTGAGCAGCAGCCCCCAGCAGGAGTGATGCCACTTCAGACTCAAGCTGTAATTGTAAAATAAAACTGAACTCTCCAGACTGTGGCACAAGCTCTGAGCTGGCCTGGCTCTGGGCTGGGGCCAGGCTGCCTTTTGTGGGAAGGGTCAGTTGGGATCTGCAGAGGCTGCAGCTACCTCTTCGCAGCTGACTTCCAGCCACCCCACAGTCTTGGCAGACTTGCGGGAGTGCTGCCCCTGGCTTTGGCCGCTGGCCTCACATGGCTTTTGGAACTCTGCTGGCTCATGGCTTTGCTGTGGCCCCTCTCTACGGCCAGAGTGGTATAAAGGGGCTGGCGCCGGGGACAGCCCAGCCCTGCTTTCCTTCCTTGGGCTGAGAGAGGCTGCCGGCAGGTGTGGGGCAGCAATCATGGGCCCCTCCTGTAGGCAGGCATGTGGTGGGGTCTGCTGAGGGCAAGAACTGCTCTGGGTTTGTTCCCAAAGCAGTGTGACCTCTTCCTCCCACTGGGTCACCACAGTGTCTTTCACGGCAGGCCCATGGGGGTGGTACATCAGGACACCCCCTCCCATCGTGCCCCAGGCAGCATGAGGGACACCCTGCCCAGGATTCAGGCAGGAGGCATCAAGGCAGGTGAGTTTATTGATAAATAGGAGCAGGGAGCCAGACACAGGAGCACTAGTGCAGGCTGCAGCAGAGTAGCAGGTCTGAGCAGAGGACCTGCCCACCCAGCTTGGGTGAAGGACCTTCCTTCCCTGCCTTTCCAGCCCAGCCTTAACCGGCTGCCCTACTGGTCCACACCACAGGCCTGCCTAGCTCAGGAGCCTGCTCCTGACAGCCGCAAGCATGGGTCACTGGGAGCCCAAGAGCCCAGGTGCTGCTTTCTGTCAGAGAAAGACCAGCCACGCATGAAGGCCAGGTCTGGCCTCCAGAAGAGC